AGCAAGGATGCTGTTTGTGAAAAGATCAATCATAAATTCAACAACCAGCCTGGAGGAGGTTCTTCCAGGAAGTCTTCAAACCAGAGGTCCTAAGAGTTGTTATTTCCAGACCATTCCCGGGAGCATTTGGGCTGTTTACTTTTTAGAAATCATTCTACAAGAGTCCCCAGGGGAAATTAAAATTCTTCTCAGTAACTGAGATACTTGACTCTCATCTGATCGGAAGCCAAGGTCCCCTTGATCATCTGGGATCTCAAATATTTGAAATCTTATAGTAAAGCATTCAGGATTTGATAGTATCATAAAATGCAGCTGATAGTATTGTATTCCTGCCTTGGTATCTGAGGGAACTTTTCTCTCACATTTCCTGAATTGTTATATCAACACTGTTAGATAAGAGTAATCTGTGTTATAATTTTAGAGTGCTAAGTAGAGAGTTCACATCACTGAATGCCTACATAAAGAAAGTGGGTAAAGTTCACTCTAGAGACTTACAGCACACTGAGTGCTATAGAAAAAAAAAAGCAAACTCACCCAGGAGGAGTAGATGACTGGAAGTAATCAAATTGACGGCTGAAATGAATAAAATAGAAAAAAAGAAAATAATACAAACAATCATTGAAACTAAGAGCTGATTCTTTGAGAAAATCAACAAGATAGACAAACCCTTATCCAAACTAATCAAAAGGCAGAGAAACAACATTCAAATTAGCAAAATCAGAAATGAAAAGGGGGACATAACAACAGACACTGAGGAAATCAAAAGAATCATTAAGTCAAACTACAAAAATCTGTACTCCACAAAATTGGAAAATGTAAAAGAAATGGATAATTTTCTGAATAGATACCATATACCAAATTTTACTCAAGAACAGGTGAACAATTTAAATAAACCTATAAAATTTAAGAAGTAGATGATTTTTTCAAAAGCCTCCTTTCCCTTCAAAAAAATGGGCCAGAGGGTTTTACTGCAGTATTCTACTAGAACTTCAAAGAAGAGTGAATACCTATACCCCTCAAAGTGTTCTACATAATGGAAACAGAAGGATCATTGACAAACTCTTTGTATGAGGCTACAGTTACCCTGATAAATAAACTACACAAAGACTCAACCAAGAAAGAGAACAATCTCACTTTTGAACATGAATGCAAAAATAATCAATAAAATATTAGAAAACCAAATTCCGGAACACATTTAAAAAATCATGCACCGTGATCCAGGCGGTTTCATTCCAGAGATGCAGGGATTATTCGAGATTTGAAAATCTATCAATATAATCCATCATATGAATAGACTGAGAGAAACAAAACATGATCATCTCATTAGATCCTGGAAAAGAATTCAACAAAATCCAACATCCCTTCACGATAAAGGTCTTGAAGAGATTAGGAACACAAGGAACATATCTAAACTAAATAAAAGCAATATACAGCAAGCTGACAGCCAACATTAAATTAAACAGAGAGAAACTCAAAGTGACCACACTAAAATAAGTCAAGATTGTCCACTGTCTCCATATTTCTTCAACATAGTTCTTGAAGTTCTAGCTAGAGCAATAATATAGCAAAATGATATCAAAGGGATTCAAATTGGAAAGGAAGAAGTCAAACTTTTGTTACTAGCAGATAACATGAGTATACATAAGTATCCACAAAATTCTACCAGGGAGTTCCTACAGCTGATAAATACCTTCAATAATGTAACCAGATACAGGATCAACTAAAAAAAATCAGTAGCCGACCTATATACAATGATAAAGAAGCTAAGAAAGAAATCAGAGAAACATCACCCACACGGTAGCCACAAATAGCAAAAAATATCTTCAGGTAAACTAACAAAAGAAGTGAAAGTCCTATTTAACAAGAACTTTAAGTCTTTGAAGAAAGAAGTTGAAAAAAATAGAAAATGAAAAAAATCTCACTTCTTTTTAGATAGGTAGAATCAACATAATAAAAATGGCAATCCTAACAAAATCAATATATAGATTCAATGCAATACCCCATCAAAATCCCAACACAATTCTTCACAGACCTTGAAAGAACAATAATCAACTTCATATGTAAAAACAAAAATAAAAAAATGATAGAAAATAGAATCCTGTATAGTAAAAAAACTTCCTTCTGGAGGCATCACAAGTCTTGTTTGAGCTACAGCAATAATAACAGTTTGGTATTGGCATAAAAACAGACAGGTTGACCAATGGAATAGAATACTGATATTAATTCACTAAGAACATCTGATTTTGGCAAAGAAGCTAAAATTACACCATTGAAAAAAGACAGCATCTTCAACAATGGCATAACTGGATGTCAACATGTAGAAGAATGTAAATAAATACATCTATATCTATCCCCATGTACAAAACTCAAGTCCAAATGGATTAAAAATCTCAATATGAATATGGCCCCACTGAATCTGATAGAAGAGAAAGTGGGAAGTAGCATTCAATGCTTGAGCACAGGAGACCACTTCTTAAATATAGCACCAGTAGCTCAGACACTGAGAGCAACAATAAATAAATGGGACCTCCTAAAACTAAGAAGCTTATGCAGTAAATAAGACAAAAACTTTAGCCTACTGAATGGGAAAATATCTTCATTAACCCCACATCAGACAAAGGATTGATCTCCAAAATATATAAACTCAAGAAATTAGACATCAAAATTTCAAATAATCTAATGAAAAATATGTAGTATAGAACTAAACAAAATTCTCAACAGAAAAATTTCAAATGGACAAAAGATACTGAAGGATGTGTTCAATATCCTTAGCTATCAGGGAAATGCAAATCAAAACAACCCTGATACCATCTTACACTTGTCAGGATGTCAGAGATCAAAAACACTAATGATAGCTTATGCTGGAGAGGATATGGAGTAAGGGGAACACTCATCCATTGCTGGTGTGAATGCAAACTTGTTCAACCACTTTGGAAATTAGTATGGTGGTTTCTCAGAAAATTGGGAATCAACCTACCACAGGATCCAGTATTACCAGTCTTGGGCATATACCCAAAAGATACTCAACCATACTACAAAGAAATTTGCTCAACTATGTTCATAGCAGCATTATTTGCAATAGCCAGAATATAGAAAAAAAACTAGATGCCACTTAACTGAAGAATGGATAAAGAAAATGTGTCACATTTACACATTAGAGTACTTCTCAGGGGTAAAAAAAATGACATCTCTAAATTAGGATGTAAATAGATGAAACTAGAAAACACCATCCTGAGTGAGGTAACCCAGACCCAAAAAGATGAATATGGTATGTACTCACTCCTAAGCAGATACTAGCTGTAAAGCAACGAATATTGAGCTTGTAGTTCATGATCATTGAAAAGCTAAGTAACGAGGTGAACCCAAAGAAAAACATATATAGATTTACCTGGAAAGTCGACATAGATAAGACCACCTAACAAAACTGGGGTGGGGACAGATGGGAGGGTCGAAGAGGAAAATGAACAGAGAAGTCAAATATTATGAGAGGGTTTCGGGCTACCCTGGGGACTCTTGAGGTTCCTAAGTCTTTGTCACAATGTTTAAATTAGAGGTTTCAGTTCTGCTGGTAGTGTGAAGTATGTCTGATAGAAGAACAATTGTTCCTTAAAATCTGTAATTGTTTCAGGACTATGGATACCATAATCATTGGGCAGTAAAGAAACTCATGACAATTACATGGGATTTACACATAATCTATATACAGCTTGTCACATATTTTCAATCATTCTACAGATTAGCTATGATGCCTAAACTGTCTTCTGCTCAAAAAGGTCTTTCATAGGTTTTTAAGGGTCTCACTCTATGACCTAGAATTTGTAGGTCTCCTACTGTAGACTCTAAAACGCTTTTTTATCAAAATATGTGTATACGTTGTATTCACAACCAGTTGCAACATTGGATGCAGAATCTACAAATATAAAGAGATAGCTTATTGTTCATCATCTGTATGATAGTCCAAGAACAAATGACTACCATAAAATTCAAGACCTTTGTCTGTGTTCATACTCAAAACATTCTGCTTATGGGGTCTGGAGAGATGATTTGGTGATTAAGACCACTTGTTGCTCTTCCAGAGGACTCTGGTTTGATTCCTAGAACCCACTTGGTAGCTTATCCTGTGTGTAACTCTAATTCAAAAAGATCTGTCTCCCTCTTTTGGTCTCTGAGGGTACATTGCACACACACAGTACACAGACAGAAGTGTTGACCAAATACTTCAACACATAAAATAAAAAAAAAATAATTTTTGGAACTAAGATAAACACTACTTCTCTAATTAAAAAAGTATACCATAGAAAAATGGAAACACATACATATATGCATGTGTGCATATATGGACTAGCTTACAATATAGCAGATTTGCTATATTCTTTCCATAAAATGAAGTCTACTACTTCAGGAAATAATAGGAAGAATTGAAAGGCAATTCTCTGCACTAAAGTAGAGACAGTGGCGAGAGGAGGCAGCTACAGGATGAAAGGAAAGCTGTTCAACCTTAAGCTGTGGTTTGCTCTGACAGCATAAGCTTTCTCAGAACAGGTTTCCTCAGTGACTCTGACTTCCTGTACACTATGTGTTCACCTGGCTGCTGCTACACAGTCATTGATAGTCTAGGATCTAATTGATGTTGGGTAAAGTCATCTAAACATTGCCATTAGTCTCAGATTTTCTTAGCCTGCTGACTGCTCTAATTTTCTAATCATGGTCATTTACACAGTTTTTATAAACAATGTGATTCAAACATGACTTTATTTCATCTTTGTGATGTATAATTTTTACATTTTTAAATTTATTTTTTAATGTTAAAGTGCTGAAACATTACTATTTTATCAATGCAAAATAAATTTTGTTTTTATTGAAAAAAAAAAAGGGACTGAGGAATCTTAGAACATGTAGACTTGCCTTTAATCTAGCAGTCTATTAAGTGTATGTATGTCTTAGCTGAGGGCTTGAATCGCAACAATCTGTAACTGTACGTAAGCCATACACAGCAGTTTTTAACATTAAGTAATTTAATAGAAAATATAATTTTCATGAACAAAGTAACTTAAGAGCTTGTTAAAAACAGCACAAGCAAACACAGACCTGTTAATGAAACAATTTATTCCATGCTTAAGAATACGTTCAACTTTCTCCTTCATCTTTTCCTTTTCTGCATGTTCTATTTCTGCAACCTTTGCTGTGGAATCAACTCTTACTCGAGAGCCAAATATCTAAGATGAAAGACATAAAGGCAGAGTTAAGTTTCACTCCTTTTTCACGTTCCAATAACACAGTGTATCATTTTTATGAACACACATATCAAAGTATATATGGATGTAATATTTTAAAGATTCTAAGCTGTTTAATGTAACCGACTCCTGAGTTAACAGCAACCAGCAACAGAATTTCAGGAAATATAGCCACATACTTTTATTTTGTCTGTATCCATTCCAGTATTTGCAATAAGAATTTTAGCATTTTCAATTCTCTTTGGTTGATTTACTCCAATTTTTTTATCCAATAGAAAACCTACAACAAACATAAAAATAGTAATAAATACTTTAAGGATATACTTGTAAACCTGCAAAGTTGTCTGTATTACTAAATTAGTGATTCAAATAATGCATTTAAAGTTCAATGTACATGTTCCCAGAATCTTAAAAGCATTCCATTATAGCAGTGGTCATAAACATCAACTCATTATTTAAAATAAATTTAAAAGCAGAATGCAAGGGTCTGGAGAGATAACTTAAGAGTACCTGCTGGCTTTTGCAGCGTACCTGGGTTCAATTCCCAGCACCCACAAGGTGGCTCACTACCATCCAGAACTCCAGTTTCAGGGGATCCAATGCCCTCTTCTGACCTCCAAAGGCACTTGGCACACACATGGTACTGATATTAATGTAGGCAAAACACTCATACACATTAACAATGAAGTATATAAGTAACTGTTAAATGAGAATACACACAAGGGAATACTATAGCATTAGCAGAGAAACAAAACACACCACCAGGACACTTTTGTTTCTATTCATACAACAGACCAGAGTCTACTGACTATAATGTAAAAAATTTAAGTGCATTTTTACTAGCTTAAAACCAACAAGACAAAACAAGCAGTGAAGAGCGGAAATCAAAGGATAGTGCTATGCCTTTCAAAAGAACTCCATCTAGCCCATCATAGTGGTATGTGCTTTTAATCTCAAACTAGGGAGGCAGAGGCCGGGACAGTCAAGAAAACTCCACGTAGTAGTAAAACAGAAACACAGACAAACCTGGCCCCAATCTATGCAAAGTATGTGTGACTAGAGGTAGATGCTGATTACCAGCCTAGCTGTGTTGACTGGATGCCATCATATGACCTAATAACATCTGCATAGGCTTCTTTCAGACACATAAGAAACTTAGCTCATTAATTCCAACCTGTGCTTTCTGATCTATTCAGATTATCTTGTCCTCAGCAGATCATCACTACAAGAACTAAAGGATTGAAGTTCCAATTACAATTCCTGGCACAGAGCACATATACAAAGATGGGGAGCAGCAAGCGACTCTTTAAGATTTTTCCCCCACCTGCCAGACCATTAGAAACATTAGAAACATTACAAAGCCCCTGAATATCAATGGAACCAAAACATTTTCAGAACTGCATAAACAAATGGCATAAAGCACACAGCAAAACCAGGATTTCAAATCACGTGTAGCTTCAAAGCACAGCTTGACTCTTCTTACTCCTTTTAAAACAATGCCTACACAGTCCATGGTCCTTTTGAAAGTAAATATAAAGACACTGGAAAACCTATGCCCTGCAAACCACACTATTAAGAAAAAAAGCATCTCCCAAGACTTAGTCCTCAAAAACTACAGTCCTATTATACATTAACTATATACAATTATTTGTCAGTTAAAGAAACTTTGAAAACATTTTTTCTTAAAACAACAGAATGAGCTGAGCGAGCTCAGACATGAAGAGCACTTCTTACTGTTACAGAGGACCTACGGGTGGCTCACACCAGTCTATAATTGCACCTTGAGCAGAGCTACCACCTCTGGCCACTGACATGCACAAACACACAGTCAGACACAAACAAGCACATGACTAAAAACAATCTCGTAAACAAAACGTTTTCCAGGGCTAATGATGTAATGTAGTTCAGTTAAGAGTGCTCACTTAGCACTCACGAAGTCCTATCTAGATGGATCCTCATATTGCACAAATCAGTGAAGTTTGGGAGACAAGGGCAGAAGGAACAGCAAGTTCAAGGCAATCAAAGGCTACAAAAGACTATCTTTAAAAACAAGTAACAAGTTGGTGATGGTGACACATGCCTTTAATCCCAGCATTAGGGAGGCAGGGGCAGGCCCATAGGCGGATCTTTGTGAGTTTGGTCAGACTGGTCTACAGAGCTAGTTCCAGGACAGCTAGGGCTGTTTACATAGAGAAACAATCTCGAAAAACCAAAAACCACCAAGCAACAAAGCTGGGCGGTGGTGGTGCACTCCTTTAATTCCAGCACTCGGGAGGCAGAGGTTCAAGAATCTCTTGGTTTGAGGCCAGCCAGGTCCATACAGGGAGTCCCAGGACAGTCAAGGCTACACAGAAAAACCCAGTCTTGAAAAACCTAAAAATAAAACAACAAAAATATAAGTAGCAAGGTCTGCAGAGATGGCTCAGCAGTTAAAGAGCACTTGCTGCAGACCTGGATTTGGTTCTCAGTACTCAAACCGAGGTGCACAGCCGTCTTTACTCCAGTTCCAGGGAGTCTGGTGCCTTCTGACCTCATGGGCACCAGTCATGCATGTGGTACACATACATGTAAGTAAAAGGCTTATATGTACATTTAAAAACTTTCAATAAAAAAGATAAATGCCACACAAAAGTCATAAAAGTTAATCAAACAAAACCCTTTTATCAACAACCTGCTAATTAAATGATTTGACTTCTCCAGACTGGGCTTAAAAAATACATGTAATCTTGAAAAAAAAAAAAAGCTCTGGAAACAGCTTTTGGTAAAGCTATCATTTCTCTATTAGACAGCAAATGACTCCACGTGAGAACTCTAGAAGCTAAGATGCTGCTGATAAAGTGTGGAAGATGAAGAATACTATCAACACTACCAATTGATTAAAATGTCAAAAACAGTTGCAACGTGAATGGTTCTTAAAGACAAACTTTTAAGCAGGGATGGATGGGAGCCGACCAAATCTTTTTCGTATTGGTACACATACATACCTTCATCTAAATAGGAGTCTGCCAGACTCCCACCTAGTTTCTTGATGACATGAATGGCCTCCAGATTACCAGAACCCTTCAGTCTGAGAACAGCTTCTACAGCTAATTGAGTAAAGTGGTCCTTGTGATGAGTAAGGAGTTTTGAGGATAATGTCGTTCCTGCAATATTCATTAAATCTTGCCGGAATCTGACTTCATCAGAACTAATGGAACCAATCAAAAAAGAAAGCCCACCTGTTATTGAAATTATTCAAACATATTAAGCATAGTTTAATTTTCAAAATTTACCTAAGTACTCGACTCTAACCAGTCCTGTAATGTCAGCAAAATCAGGAAACATGTAAACAAATGGGACACCATGTTTCCCATCAAACTGCCAAACAGGATGAAAAGCCTAAATAAGCAAAACTATCATATGTTGTCAAGAATGTGGGGAAACAACCATGTGCGACATACTCAGCACAAATAGAAATCGTTTCTGGCTGGGCAGTGGTGGCGCCCATTTTTAATCCCAGTACTCAGAAGGCAGAGACAGGCGAATCTCTGAGTTCAAGGCCAGCCTGGTCTACAGAGAGAGTTCCAGGACAGGCTCCAAAGCCACATAGAGAAACCCAGTCTTGACAAAACAAAAGAAGAAATCGTTTCTGGAGATTTGGTAACATACATAAGAGTAAACTAAAACATATACATATGTTTGGACTCAGCAATTCCACTTCCAGAAATATTTCCTGGGCAACAAATTTCCCACATTAAAAAGCTAAAACTTCTACGGAGAAACCCTGTCTCAAAAATCCAAAAAAAGAAAAAAATGCTAAAACTTTTCAAAAAGACATTTCTGCAAGGGCAGAGAGTATAAGGAAATCACCCTTCAGAAACACGTTATTACCCAATTTAAAAGAGATTAAAAAACCATGCACAGAAACACATGCCTGTCCCAGCACTCAGGAGTCAGAGGCAGGTGGATTTCTTTGAGTATGAGGCTCAAGAGTCTACACAGCAAGACTAGAGCAGAGAAGGCTGAGGTGAAGAATCAGTTCCAATCAGTGCTAGCGGAGATTACGAAGGCTATCTAGGCACACTCGTGTATGTTTCTCCTCGTCCTCTAGATCAGACTTTCCCACCAGGATCTTGGTGCACCCACCCATGATCAACAGCAGAGGTCAACAGCGCCTCTCTGGCAGCCTTGGTGGCTTCTCTCCAGCCTGCGATGATGGTCTGTGGATGGATCTTTTTTGCAATTAAAGATTCTGCTTCCTGTCAAAAAAAAAAGTATACAAATAAAAGTAATAAAGGATTGGATCACTTCAACTGCTCAAAATCAGTCAAATAACAAGAAGGAAGTATCAAATGGCTCTCACCCGGAGGAGTTCTGCTGCTAGAACAGTAACAGAGGTAGTGCCATCACCAACTTCATCATCTTGAACCCTGGACATATCTAGGAAAAGAATAAAATTATTTCTCCACATCCCTAAATTCTTTTAAAACATTCACAACAAATCTAAACCCCACTTATAGGTTTCTCCATACCTGACTAAGTTTGGGAAACTTTGAAGTTTCAAATACTATAGCCTGAGTATGTCCTCCCTAAGTTCATGGAAACTTAATCCCTTATCTTTCTGTCTCACCCATATTATGACAGCAAGCATCTCACTGACAGGGCCCACTGGTCTTGGACTTCACAATTTAGACAAACGACTTTTATCATTTAAAAACTACCTAGTTAGTGGCTGTAGCAGGCGCAAATGGTTGATACTTCTAAAATTCATTTTAGTAATGGCAAATGATGGCTATCATTTGAACAGTTTAGATCTAGAGACTCACCAACTAAAACTTTGGCTGCTGGATTGTCAACACCAATGTTTTTTAGAATGGTGGCGCCATCATTGGTTACCATTAGCGAGGCATCTCGTCCACTGCTTAGAAGAATTTTGTCCTGAAAGGAAATGTGTTTGTGTCAAACTGAAGTTAAGTACTTGAAAAATACCTCGAGTCAGTAAATGCACTCAGCTGTCCACTGCTCACACGGTAACACTCTGGATGGTTATTTGGCCACCAAGTGTTTTCAATGCAAGTATCCTACAACCAAGCCTCAATGTTCGCTCAGAAACTTAGAAGTACAGGTAACACAAACTAGCTTTGTTACAGCACGACAGACAACGATGGAAACAAATGTTCAGGAACAAAGTTAAAAGCAAACCCCAGAATATGATACTGTGGTCAAAAGGAATATAACATATTCTTATGCTAACTAAAAGATCAGTTAAAAAAAAAAATCGGCAACTGGGTTATCAGCCTCCAGAGGAAGTTCGACTAACATAGGGTGCTGAGGACAGGCTCAAAGAAAGCAGTGGAGGCCCTGAAGGAGGTTACCAGGGAAGCTGAGTTTGCTGAGTGACCTTGACCAGAGAGGGATGGGGGGGGGGGAGGGAGAGACAGAAGGGGAGAGTCAGAAAGAAATGGCTTGGGTTTAGTTATGTCTTGTAATTGGCAATGTAGGATTTGTTCAGAGTGTCCGATATCTAAGGATATCTGGACAGTTGGTGAATTTAGTGGAGTCAGTTGGCAGTAGGTATTCAGCAATCTCTTGGGCAGAGGAAAAGTAGGAGTGTGAGAAAAGAGATAAGATTTATGTGGAATAAGTGATCCTGAGAGAACAGGAACTGGAGGGGATGAATACTGATAATAGAGGGGGTCAGTGTGATGTGGCCGTCTGACAGAAGGAGCTGCCATCCCTGTAAGTGTAGGCAGAAACAGCTAGAGAATCCACTTCTGTATGAGGGATGGAGGGAGGACGTCTTTCAAAGTTTTTCTGGTGGGAGTGTAGAGGATCTGGGGCAGAAAGGAGAACGTGAGGGCAAAGCGTAAGGAAGTATGGAGGGACTAAGTAAGGGGAGGGCAGAAAAGGAAAGTGAAGGATGGGTGAGCTTTCAACGAGAAGTTTGGTGAGAAAAAGCCTGAGACAGCGGAAAGGACAGCCGAGTCCTTTGGAAGTTAGGCGTGGAAGGAAAGCGTGGTGGGCAGGGATGGTGAGAGTGGATCCCAGAGTTTGTTAGAAGGCAACGGCGCAGACAAGGTCAGCCGTGAAGGGTACTATACAGAGTTCTGGAGAAGCCTAAGCGACAGGGGCAAAGGTCAGCCTTAGGCAGTGTCTATGTGTTTTGGAAGGGTGAGGATGAATAGGTTTGTAAAGGTCTGAGAGTCAGAGGGCTGGAGCAGAAAAGAGAACATTTTAAGGGATTGTTTGTGGGTGGGAGGACAGGTAAGGCTATAAAAAGTTTATGCGTTAAAAAAAAAAACCAAACTCTTGAAATTTAAAACAGGACACTAAAAAGCAACCACACACCAAGAGCACACTCACATAAAACAAAAACAGCATCTGCTATTTTAAAAATGTGTTTCGAAAATCTAGGACAAACTTGTCCATAAATGATCAGAAAATAGAAGCAGGTTTTGCATCTAAATGGTGACACTTATTGCCACGGGAGAGCAACGACTGGGGATAGTGATACAGGAAGAGGACTTTTTATAATGTAATGTTTTGGACTGCAAAACATAAAAAAAGTGTTTATGCTAAAGGCTTTAAACAATTTTTAAAACTTATTTTTTTGGCCAGCCGCCTCAACACAAGACCACATCTCAGGAAAGCAAAGAAAACTAGAAACAAACAGAAAAACGCCTTCTAAAAATTTCCGCTTTTTCTTACCATGCCCTTTGGCCCCAAAGTGCTCTTCACCAAGTCTCCAATGGCGATGGCACCAATAAAGGATGACTTAAAAGAGAAAAACCAGAAAAGGCAGTCAAGACTTACTCATGATAAAACACGAAAAGTACAATTTTGTCATTTACAAGAGGCGGGCCGGGCTTACCAGGCGCGCGGTCTCGGCTCTCTCTTCATCAGCTCCAGCCTTGAAGATATTCACAGGTGCGAGGGATAGGGAGGCCTGGAAGGGGAAACCGAGACACTCCGTTTCAATGCCTGTACTCTTTAACACGTTTCTGGGGCCTCTCGCTAGATTGGGAAGTATATTACCTAAAGGAAATTTCATTTACAATATAATTTCTGGAGTCCGTCATGGGGGGGTGGGAATTGATTTAAATAGCGAGAGTTAGAATTGGGCGACAGGAATAAATCTACTGGTGTGTAAGGCAAAACGAAAGGCGACATTAAGGCGGGGGCAGGCAGCGGCCTAGGAACAGGGGCACCAACCACCACGAAACCCTCCATCTTCCACAGGCCTACGCCGCCACCCGCCCTTCAAGCCCCGCCCCGAGGAGGGCGGGGCTGACAAGAGTGCTAGAAACTTCTTCGTTTGGGTTGAGTCCCGGGGGTCGTCGGGGACCCCTAACCACGAAGAAGCCCGATTTTAGTAAGAGATGCTGGCTTAGGGCGCATCCTCCCTTCGCGCCCCCCGTGAAGAGCTCGGTCTGCGGATCACACGCAGGCCTCACCCCGGCCCGGGCCATGTGCGAGCGGCCCAGAGGACGGCCGCAGGGAGCCTGCGACCCCGGTTAGACAAAGGGGAGCAGCGGGGGCACCGGCCACAGCGGGACCCGGGCAGGAGCACAGGTCGTGGGCCGGAAGCTAGGCTCACCATGGTTCCGACGAACTCAGCACAGAGGATAATCCCTCGCAAGCCGCGCCGGGAAGACGGCAGGAGAAAGGAAGGCGGAAGTGACGACACGCGCTACCGCAGGGGGCGGGGCCGAGCGCGCAGGCTTCCGCCCGCACCGCCGCCGGCCTCCCGCGGTAGTGGGCTAGGCCAGAAGCGCAGCTCGCCGTGGAGGGGGCGGAGCCTAGCTTTCGCCACGCCCACAGAGGGCGTCACTGGGGTGTGGGGGGGCTAGGGGCGGGCTGCTTTAGATTGAGTAGAACGCCAGGACAAAGAGACAGTGTACCCGGTGGGTTGCCACAGAAATGTTGTTCCTGCTTATGTATATTTTTGAGGTCAGATGTACAGTTTCAGGTGTTGCACACTAATCATTTCTGTCATTTACTCTCCCTGGAAGCAGTCACTCAATTTTTCGTGTTTTTTTTTCCCCTTGTGGGGGCTATTTACCAATATACTACTAAGCAATACTCTTATTATATTTATATATTTATTATGTATACAATATTCTTTCTACGTGTATGCCTGCAGGCCAGGAGAGGGCACCAAACCTCATTACAGATGGTTGTGAGCCACCATGTGGTTGCCGGGAATTGAACTCAGGACCTTTGGAAGAGCAAGCAATGCTCTTAACCTCTGAGCCATCCCTCCAGCCCCCTCTTACTATTTTTTTTGTTTTGTTTTTGTTTTTCGAGAAAGGGTTTTCCTGTAGTTTTGGAGCCTGTCCTGGAACTAGCTCTTGTAGACCAGGCTGGCCTCGAACTCACAGAGATCCGCCTGCCTCTGCCTCCCGAGGGCTGGGATTAAAGGCGTGCGCCACGACCACCCGGCCTCTAACTAATTTTATTTTAGGCATAAAGGAATGTTCACTTAATTTTTTAGACAGGGTCTTACTGTGTATCTCTGGCTTGGCTTGCAACTCAACGAGGTAGACCAGACGGGCCTGCAGTTCAGATCCACCTGCCACTGTCTCTGGGGTACAGATATTAATGGAGGGTGCCACTACTCTGGAGTTCTTTTAACTTGAAAACGCTGTAATTGCATGGATATTAACTGCCCAGGACAAGGGCTAGTCAGTCTTTCAGTGAGACTTTTACCTTGGCCCTGGTTATCCACTTGCAGTTTTTCCCTTCATTTTGTTTTCCCTGGGGAGAGGGGAACTAATGTGACTGTTACATGGCATGTCAACGGAGACCAAGAACAGTCTCCTTCCTCTTGACACCCTACGGTATCTAAAGCAAAGCTTCAATACTTAAAAGTTTTTCCTCTTTTACAAACTTAGCAAGTCCTTTTATTTTGGACAATTGATAACCCTAGGCATTTTCAATGTTTAGTTATCTCTACCCTCAGACATAGTAACTTAGTTTATATTAGGTGGACAAGCTATGGAGACTCAAATCTAGTTACCAATTGCTTTTGAAGTTTTTAAGCATTCTTTGAAAAATAATGTGTGCCTATGTATGTGTGCCATGGTACACGAGGGCAACTTGAAGAAATCAGTTTTGTCCTGCCAAGACGTAGGTCCTGAGGATTGAACTCAGGCTGTCAGGATCAACAGCCAAACCTTCACTCACTGAGCCTACTTTTCAATTTTTTTATTTCTGCACATGTGCGTGCGCATGTGTATCACAAATGTGTGTAAGTACTGGCAGAGGCCAAAGAGGGCATCAAATCCCCTGGAGCTGGAGTAGTGAGCAGTTCACTAAGGCACTAAGAGTGGTTTATATTTAAATGGTTGGTAAAAAAGCCACGACACATGAAAATTTTTATGAAATTGTATTTTTATGCCAACAGAACTTTGAAGAAGGATATATTCTTGTATCCTGTGACAGTTACAAAGAATTAAAAGATTATGATAGTCTATGGGTCCAAGCCTACAATAGTCATTATTTTAAACAGGTCTGAGACCCTGGTTGACACTATTCTAAGGTCCACTATGACCAGGGGTAAATTCAGGCCCAGCAAACTGTTACTTGAAACTTCCTAGTTTTCTGTTGCAGGGAAATTTCTCTAGGACATGTGTTTTAATGGGCAGATCCCAGGTGGTGTTTGGAAGCAAGTCACGCTGAGAAGCTAACATGCCCGCACATTTTAAAAGGCTAATTTTATCGCAGATAAATTATATACTAGGAGTTACTGCTCTCCTGTCCGTCCAGTGGATGGCGAGCAAACTTGAGATTGTGGACGATGGGCTATCCATGTCCCCTTCCTGTTCAGACTGTGGAAGAGTGGTGGACACAAGGGCATTTGGACCCTGTACATCATTTCAGATCCTCTAGATCTGAAAGGAAGCCAGGAATCCCCTGTAATGAGGGCACTGTAGACTTTTGCTCTTTCTTCTTCATATCTTTGGTTTCTTCCACCCATCCCCCTTTACTTGGTGCCTCTCCCACACCTGAGAGTTAAACATTCAATCTCTAGCACCAAGCTCCAATGAATTTGAATTTCAGCTTGTTTTTAGCACTAGCCATCTAGGGCTTCCGAAAGCACTCTGAACCAGTTCACTCACTATTTCAGAACATCCCGCTCGCTGAATGTATCATTTTACCCCCAAAACATCTTCTATAAATTGTATAGCAGCTTATACTGGGTGTGTTCCAAGGTCCACGGAAATAGTGAGACTGTGGGAACTGTTTCCACAGGCATCTTCTGGTTTATTTCCTTCTTTGTTCCTCAGGTTTTCTCTTAGCTCTTCCCACTGTCTTTGTGACCCTCCCTGTGTGTTTGCTTGTTTGTTTGTGAGACAGGGTTTCTTTGTGCAACAGCCCTGGCTGTCCTGGAACTCTCTCTGTAGACCAGGCTGGTTTCGAACTCAGTCTCTGTCTCCTTTACTTCCCTGTGGTTTGGATTCCTTTTAGTGAATTGTCTAGTGTTAATTTGCCACCCCTAAGCTACATCACCTCTGTGCCTCAATTTCCTGGTGTATGAAATAGACATAGAATATATCTCATAAAAGCATTGCTTAGAGGATGCCTGAGCTACAAGCTCTATTTAAGTTAGCTATAACTCCAATATGGTTTGCAAAATATTGTTTCCTCAGTTGCTGTGCTTGGAATAACATGCAAAGCTCTGTAGGAGATTATCAGACAGAGGTGACTCCTATGAAAGGACCGTTTGACCTCCAAAGGGGTCGCGACCCATGGGTTGAGAATCACTAGTTTGGAGTCAGATAACAGAAAAACACACAACATATGAGACCTCTCCACATTCCTCAAGAACTTTCCTAATACTAGAGAAGGGAAGTCAGGACTCCACAGTCAAAGTCTACTTGGACTCTTGCTGCTTGGCACTAAATTGCCCTACCATTCACACAATGCTGCCGCTTACTAGTTTGCCAATGGAAACAGACAGGACAGTCTTTAAACGCATAGGGGGCTGGAGAGATGGCTCAGCAGTTACGGGTGCTTGCAGAATACAGGAGTTTGGTTTTCAGCACCCATCTCTGGGAGCTCACAAATGCCTGTGACCCCAGGTCTGGGGAATCTGAAACTCTCTCAGGCTCCCAAGGATATCTGTACGTGTGTATACACATGCAAATGCACACAAAAATTAAAATTCTTAACGTTTTTAAATAAAATAAGCTAGCATTTGTGATAGCGCATGGCAGTTGTTAAGGCGCTCACAAGTCAAAAATTTGAATTTCTATGAAAAACACCTGTCCGTACTAAAACAGTACGCATTACAGTTACTCTTTGCTGTCTGTTTATAGGTGGATTCTGGATCCCGTGGTTCTCAGTGGGGACAGTACTGACCCCTCTGGCAGTAAGCAGGGAAAAGTTTTTTCAAAAATTTGTGGCGCTTCTATAAAAGAACCACTATTCGACTTTACAGGAGGTGGGAAATAGTTAAGGGAGTCTCAATAGCCACAGTGCACAGGAAACACTTCTTCCAAAACCAGTGCGCATTTCCTAGGGTCCATACAGGCTTTACCCACACAGTTGAATGAAATATTCATAAGGAAGTCTCCAGAACCTGTCTGTTACACACACACACCTTTTTAAAAAATAACACCCTCCTCAGTTCTCCTAAGGAAACTGGCTACTGTCTAAAGGTATCATAGACGTTGTTGTAATATGCTATATGCTATATATGTCTTAGGGCTTAGTTCATTGGGAGGAGAGGCGTTGCCTTCTGCCATCAGTGATGGTCTAGCTATAGACTGTGTCGACGACAAAGACTGCTGTCTCTGTGACTAGCACAGGGCCTAATTTAAGCCCACCTGCTAAATAAGAACACATGAACAGTTACTGTCCTCAGAAGCTCTCTTCAAAGGAAAAAGACATAATCAGAAATTTTAAAATTCTGAGCATTAACACCCTACTGTTGAAAGATGCTTTGTATCATCACAACCAACTGGAGTGTTCTCTAATGTGTGGCATGTGTACACACCCAATTATTTGTGGATTCGTCTACCCCTCCATCGCTTAAATGACTTCCATCTCTGCTGTATTAGACAAGGCTTGGCAATCTCATTCAGTGGTTAAAAGCAGGCTTGGGTTCCCAGAACTAGGGAGGATAAATTGGAATGAGCACACATATTAGTGAGAAAGTCTGCCAAGTGAGCACACATATATTTTCTCTTTGAAAACAAATCTGGCTGGAGATATGGCTTAGTAGTTCACAACTCCTACTGGTCTTGCAGAGGACCCTAGTTTGTTCTTCATCAACTGCAAGTTGGATAGCTAACAAACTATCTGTTGGGAATCAACTCCTCTTCTTACTTACAAGGGCACTGCATCCACATGCAAAACACCACTCCCCAACATAAGAATTATTAAAAATAAACTCTTTTTTTTAAATGTAAGTGATATATGGAATATAAATACAGTAAAACTTTAAATAAGTATCCAACCAAGCTTTTATTTGGGTTTTTATTGCAATCTACTTTTGGCAATAAGGGAAAAGTGACCATAAGAACTCATCAGATTTTATTTAACAAAGCAGTTTTTCATGAATGCTTAAGGTCAGTGTATAGTCAGCTCGGCTTACAGTATCAACTTGAGTACCTCATCACGGATATCTATGCCAGAATGGTAACAGTAAGGCATTGCAAGATGCTACATTGTCTAAGATCAAACCGTATTTTACACATTATAATTTTAGGATAGTAAGGTATACTAATAATCCACAATAA